TGTGTGTGTGTGTGTGTGTGTGTGTGTGTGTGTTTCAAATACCAATACTAAAAATCTCTACAAAAACAAAATAGAAACTAGAGTCACAAGGGTAAGCCAGAAATGAGATGCAGCTGCTGGGACTTTAATCCTGAAGAAAAAAACAGGAAACAAATATGATTTAGAGGAACCAACCATGACAAAGGCATGGAGCTATCTCCTACAGGAGCCAATAAACGAAACAGATTCTGTACCTCAAAATGGAAACTTGAACTGTGGTCAGAATGCTCCCTTTTGTATGTAGAGTAGGCAAGAAGGGGAGAAAATTTGAAAAATAAAAATACAGAAGTAGATACGCAAACTCTCAGTTATGCAAGGCTGTTGGAACATGTAATTGCACCTCTTCACCTTCCCCAAACTCCACTAAAATAAGAACAGATAATTAAAAGTACTATAAACTCACAAAGAAAAAGAGAACAAAAGACAAGAGATGGCATCAAATGATGAATGGGGAGAGAGAAAAAAGCTGAATACCAAGTACATGTGGAGGAAGATGTCAGTGTTAAGCCTGAATGCAGACACAGGAAGTCTCCACATTCTATAATACAAGGAACTATAGAAGGTGGGAGGGCTTTTGGGGTGAAAATAACAGCATGAATGAAAGTGAATGAACTGGACCCCCTGGTCCTCTCCCACCTCTTACAGAGCCAAGTGATAGCCCTTCCCCAGTCCAACATGAGACAGACAGTGGATTCTGTAGTGAAATAAAACCATGGAGAATCCATATGCAGGGAAATGAGGCCAACAAAAAAGTGGAGGACAGATGTGTAATTAAATCAGGATTTGATGAAGATGAGATTCCCAGCTTCCTTTTATTGCTTAGCACCAAGTTATAATCCTAGGTGAACAGATTCCAGACAGGAAATTAGTAGACTGTTCTCTGGGAAAATAGACTGTCCCAAGAGAACAGATATTGACATTTCAAAATAAAGCATGAGGGTCCCTGCTGATCACCCACTGAAGCACCAGGCACCACACATGGTGGAGAGCTCCAGGGAGCCTGGCTTCCACTAGGAAGAGACAGCGAAGGATGCCAAGACCTGTCAAGAAATCTCCTGGAATGAAGAAATGAGACCTAATCAATCAGAGGAAAAATGGTGGGAAAAGGAGAAAATTTTTTTAAAACAAACTAATATTCCTAGAGAAATAGGGGAAGATTGTATTCAAGATACAAAAGCAGGCAACAATAGATTGCTATAAAAAGGAATACTCAGGGAATAATAAAAGGTCTTGAAATTTTAAAATATACATTATAGTAAATGAAATAGAAGAAAGTCAATAGAGTGGTTGAAAGACAAAGTTGAGGAAAGGTCAAGAAAACAGAACAAAAAGACTAAGAAATAAAAAAGAAAAAATAAGAGATAAGCTAAGATCAGTTCAGGAAGCTCTATGATGAAATGTCAAAGAAAAAGAACAAAGAAAATTATTTTAGTATTATTTTAAAATTCCCCCAAATGAAGGATGGAAGTTTCCAGAACATAAAGTCACAACCTGTGTTTAGCAGTTTTTTAAAAAATATATATCAATTTACAACAGTTTTTTTAACTTTTAGAACACCAGTGGTAGAGGAAAATTGTCAGAATTCTACATAGAGGAGGAAAAATTAGGTCACATGGAATCTATCTAGAATGAGCTCCACTGGCAGCTAGAATAGAGCCAAAGAGTTATCTTCCCAAGTCAGAAGGAGAACTATTTCAGGCTAGAACCTATATTGAAACTATTAATCAAGCATGGAATCAAGGTAATTGCAGAAAACATGGGTTCCCAAATCTTACTTGACAGGTGCCCTTCCTTGGGAAGCAGCTTGCGAAGCAGTCTATCAAATAGAAGCAAAGCAAGGCTGGAACCCACAAGGCCCAGTACACAGAGGGTCTTTCACAGGACAGGGGCAGAGGGAAGGTCACGAGGGAAAACAGGGATGCTACAAAGGGCAGACGGGGAAGATCGGAGTTCCATCCCCCGGGGGTGTGCAATTTTTTAGAGTATATAGGCCGATATATGTGACAGAGAACAAACAAAAATATGATTATAGGTGTCGCAACATGAATTACTTTTAAAACTAAAATTGGCTAAAAAGCCAGCCATGCTATGCATAGATAGACTTATAGGTAGGATATAATAACTTTTATGCACAGTTTAAGGCAAAAAAAAAAAAAAAAAAAAATACTACCTAGGGTTTGTTACTATGTGTGAATTAAGGTAAAGGTGTTTAAAAATGGACCAGGAGGATATAAACTTGAGTCTTATTTGCCTAGGAGTAAGAACTGAGGAACAGGGCCTGCAGAGCAAGGACAGAGAATCTGTACTTGAGCTGACTGTGTTATGCTTTTCCGTGATTACAAGAGACGGGAGAAAGGAAAGCGCAAGGAGCCGCCGCAGTCACCACCAGCCTACCGTCCCGGAGCCGCGAGGGGCCGGCCGCACACCTCCTCCTTTTCGCCGCCGGTCGTCCGCGTCCTCGGACTTGTCCCGGCACTGTTCAAACATGGTGGATTACTATGAAGTTCTAGGCGTGCAGAAGTACGCCTCCCCCGAGGACATCAAGAAAGCATACCGGAAACTGGCACTACAGTGGCACCCAGATAAAAATCCTGAGAATAAAGAAGCTGAGCGAAAATTCAAACAAGTGGCTGAGGCATATGAGGTGTTATCAGATGCTAAAAACGGGACATCTATGACAAATATGGCAAAGAAGGATTAAATGGTGGTGCAGGAGGTGGACGTCACTTTGACAGTCCATTTGAGTTTGGGTTCACATTCCGGAACCCAGAAGATGTCTTCAGGGAATTTTTTGGTGGAAGGGATCCATTTTCCTTTGACTTCTTTGGTAATGAAGATCCATTTGAAGACATTTTTGGGAACCGAAGGGGTCCCCGAGGAAGCAGAAGCCGTGGTACAGGCTCTTTTTTCTCCACTTTCAGTGGATTTCCATCCTTTGGAGGTGGATTTTCTTCGTTTGATACAGGATTTACTTCATTTGGATCCCTAGGTCATGGGGGCCTCACTTCATTTTCGTCCACATCATTTGGCGGCAGTGGGATGGAATTGTTGAGAATGGTCAAGAAAGAGCAGAAGTTGAAGAAGATGGACAGTTAAAGTCCTTAACAATAAATGGTAAGGAGCAGCTGCTACGCTTGGATAACAAGTAATTCAATGCATGCATTTAACAGAAATGTTAAACTATAACAAGCACCATTTGAGGATTAACAGGAACATTTTTTTTGAAGATTTCAGACGAACTCAACTTTCAGTATAACTGTACCTAATCTAAAGTATTTATAAACAGCTCATCGGAGCCCCTCTTTGTCATAGACTTTTGAGTTTATTGTTGGGACCACACAGTAGGACCATTTTGTCATCTTTAAAATTGTTGTAATCTCTGTATGCACTTTGCTTTTTATTAAATGTGATCCAAGGTAAGCCTTGACTCTTGAGTAGTGCTAGGACAAGACTGTACTCTAACACCAGCATGGATCTGCTTTCCATTGTGTTTGAAACGTGAGCCAAGTAGCGTCCGCCTGCTGTGAAGCTAACATTGCCAGGATGTGCCCTCCACAGAAACAGTTTCCATTTTTTTTCAGTATTTAGTAATGAAAGATGTGCATTAATGGTAATACATTTCTGGTTCAATACAAATTTAAGGATGTTTTCTAGTTGTGCATGGATGCTGGCAACTTAGTAAAGTTTTGACAATTGTTTAAATGTGTAATGTTAAGCTTAGGTTTATAAAAGCTGGTAAACTGGGTCTCTGTCATTTGCTTTAAAAAAAAAAAAAAAAACAAGACACGGGGCAGTGCAGTGAGTATTGGCTCCTGCTCTGCAGCCAGCTGACCTGCCGCATGACCTGAGCAGAGCACCTAACTGGCCGACCTCTCTCAATACAACAGTATGACTCACCTACCACTTCATACAATTCACTCATTAGACCGAAATCACGTTTGGTTGGTTTGTTTGTTTTGTATTGTAGGGAAGGGCCTACAGGGTGTTCAGGGTCTCACTTCTACATTGGACTCATAGTGATTCGCCTGTTTACAGCCTCCCAAGAGCTGGGATTACAGGCATGCACCATCATGCCTGATCTCAATTGCCATCTCTGCACACCCCAGGGGCGGGGCCAAAAAATGCCCTGCCAGGGGATATGTTAAGCTATTCCACCAGCCCTACTAAATCAAGATTCTTCTGAACATTGAAGGGATCATTGTGAAGATTTACTACCACAGATAAGAAATCTATTTGCTATATATGCAATTTAATTATTACTTGGAAATAAAAGATTTGAGGCAAATTACTTATGTTCAACTTTATAATTGTATATACAGTGATTTATCATACTGGTTTCTGTATGTCTGGTTTTTAAAAATTACTTAGTTGTTTTAAGTCCTGAAAGCAATGAGCTACCACCACACACTTGTTTGAATAGCCAGATTAAGAATGCTGACAAATGTTGGCAAGGGTGTGCAGAACCAGGAACTCTTTTTCACTGCTGGTGGGAACGCAAATGGTGGGAATGCCACCGTAGAAGACAGCTTGACAGCTGCTTACAGAACAAACTAAATACAGCTTCACCACACAATCCAGCAATTATGACCCTTGGCGTTACCCGTAGGACACAGAATTTGGTCTGCACAAAACTCTGTGTGCGGGTGTTCATAGCAGTTTTGCTCATAGTTGCCAAAAGTTGAAGGTAACCCAGATACCTTTCAACAGATAAATGGATAAGCTGATACATCTAAATACTAGAATTATATTCAGTGCTCAAAATAAATGAGCTGTTAAGGCATCAAATATGAAGGAAACTTAAATACATATTGCTAAGTGAAAGGGGTACATCTGAAAACGCTATGTATTGTATATTTCCAACTAGATGGCATCCTGGGTAAAGCAAAACTATGAAGACAAAAAAGATTTATGGGGCCGGGGAGATGGCTCAGTGGAATAAGCGCTTCCCTGGCAAGCACAAGGGCCTGAGTTCATTCCCCGGTTCCATTAAAAAAAAAAAAGGTTTATGGTTTCCAGGGTGAGTGAGAAGAGAGAAAGACAGAGATTTTTATGGTAGAAGGAAATACTATAGATAATACTGTGATAATAGATATATGTGGGGCCGGGAGATGGCTCAGTGGAATAAACGCTTCCCTGGCAAGCACAAGGGCCTGAGTTCAATCCCCAGTTCTGGAAAAAAAAAAAAAAAAAAAAAAAAAGATACATGTCATTATGTATTTGTTCAAACTGATAGCAAGCACACCACCAAGAGCAAACCCTAATGTAAGCTACAAGCTTTGGGTAACAATGTCATGTCAGCACAAGTTGATCAGCTGTAACAAATAACACTTGGTCTAAGATATTGATGATGTGGAGGACGCTGTACATATGTAGGAATGGGGAGACTGTAGGAATCACTAAGCCTTACGTCTTCTGTAAACCCAACATCATTTTAAACCATAATTTATTTTTTAAATGAGCAGAATTTAGCTAAAAGGAAAGAATGCAAGTACTTTACCCCTAGAAGAAAAAAGTTCACATAAAAGTTTAGATGAGAATTTTCACTTCTATCTGGGATGCCATAACTGAATATAGACTTAACTTACACCCTTAAGCCACTGAAAAATTGGATGAAGTATATGTAAATTTGCCCAAGAGAATACCAGAGATGGTACAACTGCATAGAAAGAATGCCAGGGTCTGTGTCAAACCTGTGGACACCAAGTAGTCCATGGTCTAATAGAGGGAGCTAGACATGAAAGAAAGTCTTTGCAGTGTTTAAGTAGGTGACAGATCTGAGACTGTAACTTGGTGCTAAAGCAAGTGCTTTGCATGTGTGAATCCTGCGTTTCACCAACAACACTGAAAAACAAAAAATCAGTCAGTGGAGCAATTTGGGGAGGAAGCAGACATGGGTGTGAATGCCAATGCACACCAGTCTCTCCTGGTCCTCGCCCATCTCACCAGCCATTGCCTTTTTAATTCTTTCCTGGTCCCTCCTCATCCTCCTCCTCCTCCCCATTTCTCCTCTCTTAAGCAGAAGAGAGCCCGGGATGGGGCATCTCTTTTCCACCTATGTTCACTCCCTGGGTGGGCTTCAGGCTTAAGGGACTATCTCCATGTCATGATTCTCATGTGTTTCCTGCATCTTGAGAAATTTCTCCGACACACCTATTTAATTATGCATTTGCAGTATCCTAGTGGATGTTGCTGTGAGTTAGATGTAATTTGTCCTCTCCAAAACTCATGCTGAAATTTGTTCCCTAATGTAATATGTCAGGGGCTCCAAGAGGTGATTAGGTCATGAAGGGATCAAAGCTTTTCTCAAAGAAATGATGAGTTTTTACAGGACTGACTCAGTCATCCCAGGAGCCCACGGTTAGAAAGCAAGCTCAGTCCTTAGGCTTTATCTTCATTTTTATGTATCCACTTGCTTTTCTGCTTCTCAACATGATATGAGAAACACGAGGCCCTCACTGAATCCTGGCACTGTTCTCATGGGCTTGAGCCAAAGTAAATCTCTGTTCATTATCAATTATGTAATTTAACTCTCCAAAAGAAAAATGAAGAAGCAAAACAAAAAATATTTCAAAATAGTAGCCAAAATGTTTCCAGCATTGATGAAAAGGATGAATCCACAGATCCAACATGCATTTCAAAGCTCAGGGAAAATAAGCAGACAGAAAATGACACTAGAAGCAGCATGATCACACATGTGGGAAACAAATATAAACAGCCCACTGGAAAAAGTTTAAATGGGCGCTCCAGTGCCATAATCTTTGCTGTTGCCTGGGGAATCACTGCTCAAACGAAGCAGGACTTGAGCTCCAGGTTAAACAGAAAAATGAAAGCTTGTTTTCCAGGACACTAGGTTTATACAGATTATGCAAAACATTGATTCAAAACACTAGAATTACATTCTACTCTGTTCTATTGGTGGTCCACCTCTTCCTCTTCCTCCTCTTCCTTCTCCCTCCCTTGTCACCAGCACCCTCCCTCCTCTCTCCCTATTTGTAAAGGCAGTGAACTAATCCCAGGAACGATCGATGAATATTTCAGTTATATGAAATCTTTGTTTTCTGAACTGTCATGGCTCCATTCCTACTTTTGTCTTGCTCTTCCCGCTGGAATGTATAAAGTTCAGAGTTCTTGAGTTAAGAAGCTGGGAGGGCCTGGACCTTGAAATATTGTCCTGGTTTCACTGTTTTTGCTTTTTGTTTTTTAAACTAAAGCTATACAAAGCTTGTGAATTAAATAATAAATTTCTAAATTTAAAAAAAAACAGCTAGTGGAGGAGATATTACATACAGAGAAAGAAAATATACAGGCTCCCTATCAAAACTATGCAAGGCAAAAGAAAGCAGAGTGATTCTTTTTAAAGAATGTCAGTCTACATTTTCATATTCAGCAAAAATATGAATAATGAAAGAAAATAAAAAATTTTTCAGAGAAGTATTGGATTTGGCAGTTTCTTGACTATGCCATCAAAAATGAAGGCAATAAAAGCAAAGCTAGATTAACCGGAATTCATCAAAATGGTAAAATTCTGTGCACTAAAAGCACACAACTGGATAAAACCAAGCTATGGAACGAGAAAAATTATTTATAAACCATGTATCTGGTAATAACAACAAACAACTCAGTTTAAATAAAGGACCAAAAGATTGAATAAATCTTTATCTGAAGATAATATTCAAATGGACAAGACATATTTGAAAAGACATTCAATATTGTTAATCATTAAGAAAATATAAGTCAAAACCACACTGAGATACCCTCTCATACCTATTAGAATGGTAACTGTAAAAACTAGAAAGTAAGAAGACTTCAGGGCTAGGGAGATAGCTTGGCAGTCTAAGTGCCTGCATGGCAAGCTCAAAGACCCAGGTTCAAGCCCCAGTACCACATGCTATGCCAGCCTTGGAACCCCAGGCACAACGTACTGGCCACCAAAACCAGGTGCGGTGGCACACTCCTGTAATCCTAGTGCTGGGGAGGCCAAGACAGGAGGATCACTATGAGTACAAGCTTACTCATACAGCTGTGTAGCAAGATCCTATACCAAGTAAATAAATGATTTTAATTTAAAAAAAAAAAAAGAGTTGAGAAGGATGTAGACAAATTACAACTTTTAGGCAATGTAGGCAATGGTGGAAATTATAGGCCAGCCATTGTGGAATACAATAGTGGTTCCTCAAAAAAAATTAAACAGAAATTTCCATCTCATCTGGCAATTGCACTTCTTGCAATATCCTCAAAAGTGTTGAATGCAAGGTCTTGATGAAATGTGTGTACAGTAGTAACTCATTACAACATTATTCACAGAATCCGAGAAGTAGAAATAAGCCAAGTCTCCACTGATGCAGGAATTTATAAACTAAATGGTATATACATGTAATGGAGTATACAAAATGGATAAAACTTGAGGGCATATGCCACATGAAGTAAGCCAGTGATGAGACAAATACTGTATTATTCTGCTTACATGAGAAATCAAGTGCAGCTGAATTGATAGAAACAGGAAATAGAATGGTGGTTACTGGGACCTGGAGGAAAAGAAAGAGGAAGGAGTTAATAGGCATAAAGTTTCTGTTTTACAACATGGAAAGGGTTCTGGAGATTGTTTGCATGACAGTGTGACTCTACTTAACACTCGTGGTCCTAACACTTACAAAGGGTTATGGTGTTTTTAAAACAAAATTGTTTCTCAGTGCTGAGGATCAGACCCAGAGCCTTGGGTATGCTAGGTAAGCACTGGGCCACCACACTACAGCCCCAACCCTC